CCTGTGTGGCTAGGACGAGGGGGAGGAAGTGGGAGACGGAGAAGGGGAAGCGAGAAGGGGGGTCGACCAAGATGCCGGAAAACTTTGAGGGCATCATGGAGGAGGAGGAGGCATGTTCCAAGTGCAATGAGGTGAAGGAGGATATTTGACATCTTAATGGAGATGCAAAATAAGAAGATTAAGCTCTAGGATATGAAGACTACTACCAAAGCGACTCTCGAGGACCAAAAGTTGTTCGTGAAGACGATGAATTTGGATCTCGACGTAGCGAAGTTTGTTCAAGACTTTTCATGTACAAACACTTTGCGCAAAAGGATGGTGAAAAGGACGCCAAAACTTGAGGTCTTTTGAACCGACAGACATATTGGGCTTTTGAGATTGATGAACGTATAAAGCTTGATGAACATCCAATGCTTTTGGTAGTTGTTGCATTGGTTTGCAATTATTAATTATAGAGAAAAGTATGTTTTTGATCCCTCAATTTTTCCAAAAGTATAGACTTGATCCCTTATGATTCTTTTCTAGACATTTGGTGCTTCAAGTCTTAAAACCAGATAAGTTTCTTCCAAAATCAGATTTTGACCACATTAACCCGGTTATACCACCACGTAATCTGCTTTTGATGAACAACAATTTTTTTTAAAAGGCAAAAATCCAATATAGTCAAGTGTGCAAGCTATGTGCAAATTTCTGTGGTCTTTGGACACTCGACGTCCTCATGGCAAAATAAAAACTGTAAATCTATTTTAGGTCAACAGTACATTCGTAAAAAAATCTGACTTTTTGGCGTTCAAGATGCTCTGGTGCACAAACTTGTCAACATGGTCAAAATCTGGTTTTGGGCAAAACTTGCCCCATTTTGAGACTTGAAGGTGCAAATGTCTATCAATAAATATTGAGGGACCAAGTCTATAATTTTGGAGAACTTGAGAGACCAAAATTCTGTTAAATATAGATAAAAGTTCTCAAAGGGAGAAGCCTGGACAAGAGCGAATATTTGATGATCCGACTGAATGACATTCACTACATTGGATGTTAGTGAACACATTTGAACATGTATGCCCCTGCAGTAAGAAGTGACTGCGATACTCTCATGCTCCAAGAAACTAAATCACATGTTAACTCTCTGTGTTATAACAGTTGACTTGTGACGATTGCATATGAAAGTATAACAAACAAGTTTGGGTTAATTAAATATAATTGCTCTTCCAATGTCATATTCTCAAAGTTGTTTTAGCACTATCGTTACACTTAACGATATCCTAACATCTGGTAAATATGATCACCAAACACTTGAGCTAATCTTAGAAGCGACACATGGAATCATATTTTACCGTTTATTATTTCACACGCGCATATGAGTTTTCCACTTAACCGCATATTCCAAGATCATAGCAGGTATAGTATAGAATATAAAATCCTTAATTATAAACATGAAAATATAATGATACTATATTATTTTCTTTAGGGCATATTTCCAAAAAAAATCACCTGGAGCCAGCTGCCCGCATTCATGTCGCTGTAGAGCAGCCGC